TAGGGAATCATCCCACTACTGCAGTGTCGGATCTTTTTGTATAGCCAGCAGTAGAATTATAAACAGACACTCAACGAAAGTAGGACATGAGTCTACCGACTAGACATTACTCTTAAAATCTCCAAAGCCTGTCTGGCAGTGTGATATCTTTAAATTTTATCACTTCATTGCGATAGCCAACGAAAGGTTAAACACCCATGACATAGATCATGCTTTACCTGATGTACTCGCCCGTGTTTAAAACTTTTCCATAGCTTTGCTGAAGATAAGGAAGTTGCGTTGTAGATACAGGAAGTCAATGACGGTACTTTTTCAGTTTTGCAGTTAAACGTAATTTGGGGTCTTGATTTAATAAAGGACGATTGGGTTGAAAACATTACCTTCCTCACACAAACAGCTGTTCTCATTCTGGTCTCAAGGAAACAAGATCCCAGCTACCACATGCTCGGCTAAAGTTATCATTTACTGCTGCTAAGTGCAAACCTTTATACACCGTTGGCACACTGTTAGATAACCTAAAACGGTACGAGTCTCCTGAGACTCAAAAGACATGAAGAACAACCCATCACCTGGTGAGACACGCCTGTGGCAACTTTTCGGGTTATGCTAAGGAGACCATTGGGCTGTTTCACGGAACAATGTCAAACTGTAAAAACAATAAAACTAGTTTTGCAGGGAAATAACGCTGTATCACTAGGGGTAGGATGAAGAGTGAAGCAAAAGCATGATACATCACACTTGGGCCATTTCTTTCAGTCGATTCACCCTAGGAAAATTTCAACTCGAGTTCCCTACGACCAAAAACGTATTGGTTCGCATACCGACCAACATTTGAATGCACGCAACACGCATCGGCTGGAACACGTGCGCTCAGCCTGAAAACGATATACACATGCTTATCAGTATTCAGATTTTGCGTTATGATGTAATATCCAGACGCTATCAATAGTGAGCATGAATAACCAATGTACTCAACACCTTTCAACCTTAAATGTTCACATGACGAGACTTATGGTGTCTATTATTTGTTGATAATGCTGCCTTACGAAAACAATGGTAAGTTGTTTTCTTTAAATTGAATGCTGTAATGAACGCTTCTTGATCATCTACTGCTTGTTCCGCGCAGTCAAGCTAAAAGACAAAGCTCTTTATTCGCATTTGTATTGTTGCAAAAATGTACAATAGATTTATCACAAGAAATTATCAAGAACAGTTATACCAAACATTTCAGATGAATTTCACGCAATCGTTCACTGTGAAGCTTTCAACCAGTCGACTTACTACACGACTTCAGTTTGGTCTCACATTTAAAGACACTGAGGGAAAAAGCGTTCGGAAATGCAAGATAATACTTGAACACCCAAAACTGTATCTTAACAAAATAAGGGAGAAAATTTGTGCTGCTTATCTGAACAAATGCGACTTTTTAAGAATTACATTTAGGGAAGAAATGAATCAACTCAACAGAAATGCATATGGCATTAGATAAAACTTTACTTAACAAATGATGAACGACTTTTAACTTGCCTTAAAGTAAGAGTCTGACACTATCCAAGCATAAAATGATCGGTAGTCGCTGGAAGATTCACAGTATATTGCTATTTCAAAACGCAGGAGAAGCTAAACTGTCAAGCCAAGTAGGACAAGGAGAAGCAGACTAAATCAACATGTCCAACGTATTCCCACTACAGACAAAAATTAAGTAGCTCGTATCATTTCAGGTGCCAAATGAGAAGGTACAAGAGTATTGTGCAGACACTTCCTCATATGATTAGAGAAATTCCACAAAACTCAGGATCATTCAAACCTACATGGTCATCTAGGTTTAAATGATTTTGAATTTTCTGCGGAATTTCGCTATTGTTAGTTGATACTCTATTGGCTACTATGTGTATTATTATAATTTAAACTTTCACATAAGAAACAATGCTTTTTCCTATTGCCAAGACACTAGATAACAAAAACTAAAATAAAGTCTACCACTTATTATGCACACACACTAACGAATACCTGCTTTAGTTCAATGCACATATTTAACAACTTACCAAACGACCCAATATATCTTCCATTGAACTATTCTCATAGCTCCTTTGTTTCAAGTGAATGGAGAAAGGAAGCGTCACATCGACCAACACTGGCTACTGTAACGGAATTAGCCCTCAACTTTGTCAAAATTCAAATAAGAATCCTAGAAGCAATGGTAATGTATAAATCGCACTGGATATTTTATTTCCGAGGTTACTGAAAACCACGAAATGTTGAATCGCCAGGTTAACTTATCCTGTCGTCACAATAGGTAATCTCAACCACTTACTGGACACCGCTTGTTTTAAGAAATCTTAAGAGATGAGTTAGTTACTGAAGCAACACGTCCATACAAAGACTACTACAGTTTTGGTCTCGTAAGGCACTAAAATTTAGCCTTCCACATAGTGCAGATGCACTGCAACGAAATTCTTTTCTTGGAGGGACTAATTCTACCCACCAAATCACAATGAAATAAAACAATTCTACTTACCCCTATCCTTTATAATTATTAAAACCTACCTTGACATCAAGACAGTGGCATTGCAGCTTCTAAAATCCGTTTGTGCTACGTGCTTGTGTATGCAACATATAAGGTAGTGAGCAGAGATTCTACCATCTATATACGCTTCTATGTTTAATAGTTAAATTGAATCTCACCTTTCTGTCCACAAAAGAATTTTCCACTGAAGTAGAATTATATTTCCTTTGATTCACATACAAACACCTACCAGCAAACATACAGCATTAGTTTGACTTACATTGTTTCCAGAATACTTCAAAAGAAAACAAGAGACGCAAAGTAAGTTTGTTCACCATAAACATTGTGAAAGTTAATTGTACAACACATGATCTACGAGTCATTTAAAATTGAGATCTTTAGTATTACATAAACATACGCACGAATGACTTGCATCAAAACCGCAACTGAGGTATTCCTGACCATGGAGAAAGTTGAGCTGGTGTTGGTGCGACCTGTGGTTGCATTGTCGGCATGCCAAATACTGAAATTAAGCAGAAAAAATCTTTTGAAATCAAGAATGCGTGTATTTCGAAATAGCAAATACACTATATCTTTTTGTATAGCCAGCAGTAGAATTATAAACAGACACTCAACGAAAGTAGGACATGAGTCTACCGACTAGACATTACTCTTAAAATCTCCAAAGCCTGTCTGGCAGTGTGATATCTTTAAATTTTATCACTTCATTGCGATAGCCAACGAAAGGTTAAACACCCATGACATAGATCATGCTTTACCTGATGTACTCGCCCGTGTTTAAAACTTTTCCATAGCTTTGCTGAAGATAAGGAAGTTGCGTTGTAGATACAGGAAGTCAATGACGGTACTTTTTCAGTTTTGCAGTTAAACGTAATTTGGGGTCTTGATTTAATAAAGGACGATTGGGTTGAAAACATTACCTTCCTCACACAAACAGCTGTTCTCATTCTGGTCCCAAGGAAACAAGATCCCAGCTACCACATGCTCGGCTAAAGTTATCATTTACTGCTGCTAAGTGCAAACCTTTATACACCGTTGGCACACTGTTAGATAACCTAAAACGGTACGAGTCTCCTGAGACTCAAAAGACATGAAGAACAACCCATCACCTGGTGAGACACGCCTGTGGCAACTTTTCGGGTTATGCTAAGGAGACCATTGGGTTGTTTCACGGAACAATGTCAAACTGTAAAAACAACAATAAAACTAGTTTAGCAGGGAAATATCGCTGTATCACTAGGGGTAGGATGAAGAGTGAAGCAAAAGCATGAGAGATCTTTAGTATCACATAAACATACGCACCTCTCTATCTCAACTTCATCGACTTTGAAAAGGCCTTCGACAGCGTCGATCGAGAGGTGATTTGGCAACTACTTCGCTACTACGGGGTGCCGCCGACAATTATACATCTCATCCAACGGTTGTATGACAACGCTGCATGCCAAGTAATCCACAACGTGAACCTCACGGAATCCTTCGAAGTGCAGACAGGAGTAAGATAGGGTTGCCTACTATCGCCAATGATTTTCCTGATTGCAGTAGATTGGATAATGCGACAGACAGCGGGCAATGAGGAAACAGGCATAAAATGGACTCACACAAAGAACTTGGAGGATCTGGACTTCGCCGGCGAAATATGTCTGATTTCCCACAAACTGGAAGATATGCAAGTGAAAAGTAACAAGTTGGCAGAAGAAGCATCGAAGATAGAACTGCAGGTGAACATAGAGAAAACGGAAGTGATGAAGATTCCTGGCCAACACCAACAGCTACAGCAACAACAACAGACAGCAATCAGCATAAATGGAAGGAACCTGAAGGAAACTACCTCCTTTACCTACTTGGGAAGCATTGTCTCAACTACAGGCGGAACTGACGAGGATATCAAAGCAAGGATCGGGAAGGCAAGGCAAGCTTCCATTACTCTCAAGTCTGTGCTGAGGTCAACAGCATTCAGCGTCAAAAATAAGATCGGGATTTTCAACTCCAATGTGAAGTCAGTACTACTATACGGATCAGACTTGGCGTGTCACAAAGGGCACCTCAAACAAACTACAGACCTTCATCAACAGATGTCTTCGCTCAATAATCAAGATCAGATGGCCGGCCAGAAAGAATCAGCAACAGGGAGGGATCTCTGTGAGCGAACCAATACAGCAGGAACCGATTGTAAAACAAATAGGCAGGAAGAAATGGAGATGGACTGGTCATACTCTCAGGAAACCATCAAGTGACATCACTAGACAAGCCCTCGAGTGGAACCCGAAAGGGAAGCGACGAGTTGGTCGTCCAAGGGTGACTTGGAGGAGATCATGTGAAGAAGAATTGAAAACGTGTGGGCAGACTTGGAGTCAGGTGAAGACTCTAGCAGAGAACCGAACGCAATGGAGACGGGTGGCTGAAGCCCTATGTTCCTCTAGGAACTAAAGGAAATAATAATAATAATAATAAACATACGCACGAATGACTTGCATCAAAACCGCAACTGAGGTATTCCTGACCATGGAGAAAGTTGAGCTGGTGTTGGTGCGATCTGGGGTTGCATTGTCGGCATGCCAAATACTGAAATTAAGCAGAAAAAATCTTTTGAAATCAAGAATGCGTGTACTTCGAAATAGCAAATACACTATATCTTGGGAAACACGACAGTGACCTGATATTTTTCGATGACAAATCGACTATTTTAGCCAGTGTCTCCTCATCCACGTTGTATATGACTGGGAATTGCTGAGAAACTTTCACGGGGTAGAAACTAATTTGTCGTTTGGAAAGTTACCTCACCGAAGCTGCTGTCTTACTACACGTAGCAAAAAGCAGCAGGTTCCTCAACTGTCAAGAACCAACAACTTTTTTTGGAGCTTATTAAAAGTATTCGGAATTCAGCGATATAATCTTGTAATACGATTACATACTACTGTGATAGAAACCCCAAATAAATTTCAAGTGTAATAACACATTTCCCTCTTAGACACAAGTACAATAAGGAAGTTTTTCTTCACTTAACGTAACGTTACAATTTGTCACATATGTTTCAATTTGAAGTCAGCCATCAAGATCAAATAATTCTTGATATAGTATCAGCACTGTTACTTTACTAGAAAAACACTAAACAAAAATTCAGTGGTTTAGATTTCACTAGCTCAAGGAAAACATTCTCTTCCCCAATAGGTACTTAATGAAAAGTGTCTAGAATTAATGGATTGTACATTCACACAGACATATGTTAACGTGATACACACGCAGATACGTGACTTAGGATTCACAAGCATCAGCTTTATATGTCGCAAGACTGATTCCGAAAGCTTTGAACATAACGAGAGGTGAAAACTGCTCTAATGAAAGCTGCTTGAAATCTCAGCAAAGACAGTGACCACTGAATGACGTGTTAAAGTCATCAGTGGAAGAAAGCACAAAACTTCGGTCGATTAGTAATAAAAGACATGGTAAATGATAAGATTCCGAGGAGAACGACACTCCAGCCACCTTCGACGACAGAAGCCTGAGACTTTTAAGTGAACTCTATGGGGAACTGTTCAACCGATTTAGTCACTTCAATTGAGTCCGGGATCTAACAACTACCTGAGTGAGTTGTGGATGATGGCCATCCCACTGCCTCTAATCTAGGACTGGCAGAGCAGTGAATCTGACAGTACGACAGGGGCGATGATTGATTGATTTAGCTAAGATATTAAATAGTGTGAGGATTTGAGATAGTCCCCTTTGACAGCTGCAAATCATCAATAAGTGAAGGTGTTTCGTGGTAATCGAATACCGCCATCGATCCATGTATTTTCCAAGTTGGTTCAAGCAGGCCACGATAGCATCTTCCAGATGCCTTACGACAGGAGACGAACGCTATAGATGGGTCACAAGATTACCCAATCTAACCTACTCTGTGAAAACTAATTATATTTCTTGAGGCCCATAGAACATCTTGGTATCCAGTACGTTAAACACTATTTGTTACGGACCGGTACACGAATATTTTAAGCGTCTGACCACATAAACGTGCGATATCTACACCAAATCTTAACGGCACATTCCATTACTTCTAGCCAGCAACACAACCTGAATGTCTAACCAATTCGGAAGCTTTTGGTTTATCCTGTTTGTTTTACGCGTTGAGCTTCCTAGGTGATCACGAATTGCCGTGATCTAAAACGCTAGATCTGTGAACCAGCTAAATGTTCCATTAAAGTCTCAATATACCACCTGTCCTCTAAACAACTTAAGGTGAGTTTTGTAATATTACACGGATTTGTAAAGATTAACCTACCTGGTGGGATAAAACCAGGATTGTAACCGAACGGGATTTGCGTAGAAACTGGAGGGGCGATTGCGGGGTATACAACTTGTGGCTGTGAAGGTATAAAAGGTGGAGCAGGTAGCGCAGGCGTTAGAGCTACTGATGTAGCTGGTGCTGGCTTTTGGGCTGCATTTTCTAAAATGCGTTTGTATTTCGGCAGTTCGGCCCTAATTTCTTCCTGAAAAATATGCATGTAATATAATACTAACTTACAAGAGACAAATCATCTTCAGGATGAACCAACTCTATCACAGCTCCATTTGTTCCAGGGGCAGGTTTTTGCACTTTGGATACAGGTGTCTTTGCATTGTTTGATGGAGATGAATACGCCGGGAAAGTGGCTTTGGGAGTTGTCGGAGGAGACTAAACAATATAGTGAGAGAGATATCATTACCTGTTCTTCATTTGGAGTCGCTGGCTGCGGAGGTGCTGGGATTGGAGGTGGAGGTGGTGGCGGCGGGGGTACGTAGGGTATTGAGCTAAAAATAAGTTATTCCCAAAAGTACTTACTTCATATGCGGAGGAAGAGGAACACCATGCACTAAATATATGAGTGACAATATAACTGTAACTTACATCCCATGTGACTGAATGGAGGAACAGGGGGACAGAGATTTGACATGAATGGAAGTGGGGGGTGTATAGGTGGCGGTGGATAGAACGGCACACTTTCATCTTCCTTAGCCATTTTTTCGGGTGGTTCTTCTTCGCCTTCATAACCGAACTTCTGTCTTTCATGCTCTATGATATCCACCTCGGGTATACCAGACATGCCGTAGATGTCAATGACTGTACTCGTCCGGTTCGGAAGAGCATTTGGGATTTTGTCCAACTTCTCTTTATGAACCTTGATACCGTTAGCACCTGACTGAAGCAAGACTTACCTGATTGCAGTGAATTGACAGACCTGGCCCAGTAAAAAGTTTTCTGTGACAGTACGGGCACTTGAAGTGCTTCGCCTTTTGATGCTGAATCAAGATTTTCTCATCATCAAACTCCCGATTACAGTACCTACAGACTACTGTACAATATATGTTTGTCGTACCAGCACCACGGTTTCAACTGCTTCCTTTTTTTGCGACCCATCACTAACGTAACCAACCCCTTATAATAACCGCGGGCTTGAGGGAAGCCACGTGTGTTAAAACACAATTAGTTCTTCATTGTGCAAAATCAGTGAAATGTTGATCTTCATAAATTTCCATATATGCACTTGTGGAATATTAAGTAGTTATTAACTTGAAACTCATGGTTTCTTCCTATAGTCGTCTGGCTAGAAGAACAAGGAGATTCCTTTTATGTCACACGCTGTAACTCTAGCTGGACTTCTTCACCACTCTTGGTAAATTCTTTTCGTGAATAATTTTTAGTAAAATTGCATTTTGTGTTGTCTGAACTGGTGGGAACTCTCATGTTCCGGCACCGCATGTTGGCGTCTACGTCATATGATCAGACTGTGGCACGGTTTCGGTTTCGGTGGTTTGTGTTTCAGGCAATTGGAAGATTAATGCGTAGTAATTAGTTTAACAAAACAGATATTTTTCCGTTGCACGAACACAATAGAATCTCGGTCGGAATCTTCGTCGATCTAATTGACTTTTTAGTCGATCTAATTGCTAGTTAGCCTGATAAGTGCCTCGTTTCGCCAGCAGTGATGTCAACGCAAACACCATTTTTGTTTGACCTAGTCTCTGTCTCCGGCTGGAATCAGTCATGACCTGTCACTGGATGAAACAATAGCAATTTCTGTTGTATTTCATGTTATGAATGGTTATTACTCTTGATGGTGTTTTAATTCCTTAGTCACTCATGGAAATTCAGGTGGTCGTCGGTCCAGCTTCCATGACATTCGGAATGTTGTTGGAAGGCATGCTGTAGGTTTGTCCATCTGATGAAACCATGCCGCCTGCGTATCCTTGCGTTTTCTGGTCGCTTGATGGAATAGCTGGTGTAATTCTGAAGTTCTGTCCCCTCAATATTGTTTGGCAGTACCACAGATTTCATCTCACTGAATCGTGTTCGGGGACTGTTGTAACACAATCTTCAGCTGTGCGAGACACAGCAGCCTGGTAAACTGTAAGGAGTGTTGCAACTCAACTTTATCGTACTTGCTTGGTTTCATCAGGCTGTTTGCTGCAGTTAGGACGCATCACATGGGTTTTGGTTTCCATAGATGCAAATGATTTAGTCAGTTAAACAAATATCTTCATGTCATTAAGTTGAGCGTTTTATTAGCTGGCGCATTTTCTGCTTACCCATATATGGAATTATGTACTTTCCAATTGCATTTCTGGTGCAAATACAATAATGGAACATGGTTTTAATTGGTATCGGAATTGTTTGTTGATAAACTGATGCACAGACATTCAAAATACACATACCGTGCTTACAATCACCATTTGCACGTGTCTGCTATATTGTGCTTCTCCCGTTTCCCCTTCATGTTTCTGTGTTGTTTAACAAGGATCTTTCATTTTTCCTCTTTGCCATTTAATCCGTCTCTGCATCATACACCACGAGCTACTTATGAAATGTTGTCGATAGTACTAGTCATAGTCGTCTCCTCGTCAAAACGTTTCGAGCAGAGCCGGTCCCACCTTTTCGGTTTCACTCGATCTTGTTTCGTCTTAGTAATGACTTTTCTTCCCGCTGTACCTATCGCCGAGTTTGACGTTAAAACGCCTCTGTTTTCCTTTTGTGATAGTGCAAACAGGAACGTCTCTTGGTATTTCTCTGTCCTCACCTAAGAAGTAGTTTGTATGAACCCGGCCAGCCTCCAACAATCCATTTTCTTTCTTTACGCTTTACTTTCTCTCCAGCTTCAACGGTTTCGCATTTCTCTTTTCTGCTCCGATCAAAGTTCTGAGCACGATCTTATGTTTATGTTTTACACCTTTGACTTCTGATTCCGTTTGCCACCACTTCACTGTATGTGGTGCGGCCACATGTTGCTATATATTGACAGTCATGGATTACTTACCGAAAGCAACTGAGACGATGACCTCTTTGTTATCTCTTGGAAAGGGAGCGCGGTGTACTAGTATAATCAGTAGGAGCTCAGCCTTCCAGTTACCTCCCCTTGAGAACAACCATAGTCAGACCATTGATCTCACCTTATCGATACCTGGCTGTTGCAAGCGGAATGCAAATTCTTCACTTTCAAAAGCTGGATAATAACTCACTGATCCAGCTTTTGGTACATCATGGTCTGCAACTGTGTGTCTGATCGCTGCATCATTTACAGTCTTTGCGCGTCTATCCATCATGTGAAGCGTTCCATAATCATCAGCAGGTCCTGAAGCCCACTGAATATCTGTGGAAAATGTCCTATAATATTCGCAGGCCACAAGTAGCATACTGTCATTACAGTAACCGACTGCATAGACGGTCTTAAGCACCAGTCACCTTTCGTCAACCAACACTGAGGATATACAAATGCATATTTTGCGACATCTCACAAACCTAGTCAGTATACTATCTGCCTTAAGAGATCGGTTGTCCTTACAACACCAATAAGCGTTTGCTGGTATCGTTTCGCGGTGGTGCGACGATTTTATGTAACTTTAGGAAGCGCGCATCTATTTTTAATAGGTTGGTTCCTCAGACCACTAACAAATTATTATTCCCGTTTTATGACTTGATATCAAAACTGCTAACAGATAATGATACTGTTAGTGCGTAATTGAGTGAACCCGTTTGACTTTTATTACATTTGCCATACCAGTAATGTGGTTCACATCTCAAAACGAGTGCAAACTGCGATGCCCGATTTTCCTGTACAGTTATGTTGGATGTGATAGTGGCTGTAAAGCGGCATGTTAATCATATGAATGTTTAGTCCACGCGAACTCACTTGGAAGTTGGTTGAAATTTCACCTGGTGAATGTTTGTTTGTAGATCATTTTTACTAGAATTATATAATATGCTGTCTAGATCGATAGAAACTCTGATTTTCCTATATGGCATATTGACGTGCGCGTTATGTGACTGTGGTACACTGTAAGCGTACTAGCTGCAAATGTTTATATCCCCGGTGAACTGCGTAAAATTTCTCTATTGCGAGAATCAAAGAAGTCCCACCATTCAGTTGAATCCCAGCCACTTCACACTCGGCGGCCAACTTACTTATCTGCACTGACTAGATCAGATTGCAGACATTTGGGTTATGTCATTGTGTACCTGTACACTCATTCCACAATTAGTCAATACATTCTCAAAGAACTATTAGGGTTATATTCTCCCTTCTATATTTGCAGCGGTGTCAAGAGCAGCCTCGTCACCCGGTTAGGTGGCCCACAAGGCCCTCCAAAAAGCACGTACGACTATAGGTGCCTGGGACCTAAAGAAGTCGGTGAATTTAGCCACTCCGCCCTCAATGACTCATTCGTCTACCTGTGTTGATGGAGGCACACTGCACAAAATATGATTCTCAAGGGATAAACCTAGGAGGACTTTTCTGTGTACACATATATGCTTAGAAATAAGAGGACAGCATTGCTTTTTCACATGTGGCCAAACCAAATAAACAACAGAGTATGAAAATTGCGTAATCAGTCCCATGGAGACATGAACATAAAGAAAGAAATAGGTGTCAGCTTCGAATAAATAGTAAGAAGATGGCTTATATGAGAAGAGTGGGTGCGTGCATTGCATTTTACCCACTGTTTTTCACCTACTAACGTATCAAAATCGCATGTTTAACCGACGTTATACGCCCTCCATCATGCCACAAGTAAATAGAATAATTTCTTTTCCGCATAAACAGGTGAGTTCACAAGAAATGCATGCCGTTTTTATGGGCATGATCGGTGTAGTTATAAATTGTAATTATGAAACACCAAAACCTTAGCGCTTTTTCAAAAATTCAAGCTGTTGGGTTATAATACAAGCGATCAGAACAAGTTCGCATATTATTATGTTATTGTTTCCTTTAATTCCTACAGGAACATAGGGCTTCAGCCACGCATCTCCATTGCGTTCGACTCTCTGCTAGAGTCTTCACCTGGCTCCAAGTCTGCCCACACGTTTTCATCTCCTCTTCACATCACCTCCTCCAAGTCACCCTTGGACGACCAACTCGCCGCTTCCATTTCGAGTTCCACTCGAGCAATGGCCTGCCTAGTGATGTTACTTGATGGTTTCCTCAGAGTATGGCCAATCCATCTCCATTTCTTCCTGCCTATTTGTTTTACAATCGGTTCCTGCTGTATTGGTTCGCTCCCACAGATCCCTCCTTATTGCCGATCTTTTCTGGCCGGCCATCTGATCTTGAGTATTGAGCGAAGACATCTGTTGATGAAGGTCTGTAGTTTGTTTGAGATGCTCTTTAGGACGCACTGGCCAAGTCTCTGATCCGTATGTTGAGTAGCACTGACTTCACATTGGAGTTGAAAATCCAGATCTCATTTTTCATGCTGAGTGCTGTTGTCCTCCACACAGACTTGAGAGTGATGAAAGCTTGCCTTGTTGTCCCGATCCGTGCTTTGATATCCTCGTCAGTTCCGTCCGCGTGTAGTTGAAATGATGCTTCCCAGGTAGGTAAAAGAGGTTGTTTCTTTCAGGTTCCTTCTATCTATGCTGATTGTTGCCTGTTGTTGTTGTTGCTGTTGGTGGTGTTGCCCAGGAATCCTAATCGCCTCTGTTTTCTCTATGTTCACCTGAAGTTCTTTCTTTGATGCTTCTTCTGCCAACTTGTTCGCATAAGTGTTAATAATAATGTACTTTATTCCAAAAACAGTACTTATATTACAGAATGGAATTCTCAGCATTTGT